CATGTTTGCAATGAATGCACCACTACTTGCTAGTTCAGTGCTCAGGTTCGTTTTCCCTTTGTCCGAAGTTTTATTTCTACATTGTTTTGCCAAATGTCCCATCTTGTTACATTTGTAGCACTTGTAGCTTGAATAGCGATTTTTCTTACCGTTACCAGACGACTTCTCATTTTCTTTGTCGCTGCTCTTACTAGAGCCGTCGAGCGATTTTCCTTTATGGCGGAACTGCTTGTGTGTGAGGAAAGCTGCCGAAGAGCCAGCTAATCCACCAGCTTCCAATTCTTGTTCTTTTGAACACAACAATTCTGAAAGAGCTACGAGCGTTTGCTCTTTCCGCGGCCTAGTCTTCCATATGTCTTTGAGTACCGAATATTCATCGCTTATGGAACATAAAATGCGGTAGTGCAGTATTGATTCCGGAATCTGTTGTTTAACTGCCTGACTAACATTCCCTCCAGCAGCGGTTGCGTCCTCTGTCGCCTGACGATTAAACTCGTGGTTGAGATCGAAAAAATCCTTTTTCATCGATGCGATATACGCTGCCATTGATTGTTCAGGTCTTTTCACCGCCGTCATAAATCGAGTTAGTATCGTGTGAACCCGCTGAGTATCTCCGTGCTCAAATGTGTTAGTTAAGGTTGCCCACATTACCACAGACGATCTTGTTGTAAGCACCAGCTGTGCCACATCACTCGTTAACGTACCCGCTATTGTAGTAGCTGCTACAAGATCATCTCCTCGCCATTTTCTCTCGGCTGCCAACTCAGTTTCTGTAGGCTTCTCCGGATCTTTTGGTAGAGGCAGAACTCGCTTGCCTTCGACGATGTCCAGAACACATTTCGCTTGTAGGACCATTTCAACATGCCATCGCCAAGTGGGCCAATTTTCTGCTCCCCTTAATTTCTCTATGTTATATTTTTCGTCGCCTTTAGCTGTTGCCATTTTGTTTGTGCGCCCCTGTATATAGTAGTTCAAATGTCCAGCTATGCGTAATGGAGCCACGTCCAATTAATGACAGCTGACACAAACAAAAAGAAAAAAACCGCGCTAGCCAATAATTGACGATAAAATATACTTAACGTTTCTTTCTATGCAGATCAATCGCCTTTGATACACGTAATCACGTACACATTAGGTACACGCCCGAACAGAATACAGTTACACACTATATTTTGATTCTCATCGATTGTTCTAGTCGCATGCTGAACCCATAACCTGATGAGTTTATTACGTTCACCCGGTAATAAATAAGCAAAAACCCGCGAACTGTAAACTGTTGCTTTATTTAAGGATAAAATAATAGAAAGAAACAAAACTAAACTACATGTCATACCTCTGCTTGACATACATGAACTTAGGTTCACTTGCTTGATTTTAACATTTAACCTACAGAGCACGTCAAAGTTTTTAGTACTTCAACATCTTTAACTTAGCGTATCCGGATGCTGCTGTAACTGTTTGGTATTTTATTCAACAATATTTGTTTGAAATAAAAACGGAGAGACATTGTTCAGCCAAAAATAAACGTTCTTATGAAAGAATTAAAAGACGCCGCCGGTGGTAGATGATGTTCTCATTATGATGTAAATGTTTTTTTTGTGTTTTTTATTTGAATTTAATTTTTTTGTCAACCAGATTTATGTTCATGCATTTCCTTAAGTAAAGCGTTTTTGAAATGATTATGTATTATTTTATTCCAGATGCCCATTGGACGAGATGAATTTTGACTAAAACGTTACATATAGTTCTGGAAATAACATAGAATCAAAGAAAAGAAAACACGGTGACTCCTGCTTTGCTCCCTATTTCAGCCCACCAAAAACTACCGGATAATTACATTTTATTCGGAAGTAACATAATGTTCCTTTTTCTAGGTACAATTTAAAAACTAAAAAAAAATTAGTCGCCAACTTTTTCACCTAAAGCAGATTTTAATTCTAAATGGTTGAATGAGGAAAAGAAATCACATGTAGGTACCGTGTTTTCTACCGAAAACTTATTGTCCCAGGATCGAGTTTACAAGAGGTATGATTGACCAAAAATTTTCGAATTGGAATATTTTTGTGTGAAAATTATTTTTAGAGTACTATGGATTTATTAAAGTCATGTGGGCCTGTACAGATGAGCAAACTCTTTTTTAGTTCTAGGTAAACTACCTTTTCTTTTCGCAGTACACCAAAGTGATACTAAGCATGAAAAGTTCTGTATGCAAATTTTCGGAATGATCGACCTACTTTGATACAATCCAGTATTGCCCAATTTCCTCTTATATATACTTCATTTTTAAGTCAGTTCTGTGCCAACTTTGTGTCAACTTGGCCTTTAAGAAACAAATCTACATTTGAAGCCACAATCATACCTTGAGATCGGTTAATGATCACAATTTATTGCTATTTCAATTGGAATGCTGACGATTACTGGATTTTATTAAAGTAGGCCAATCATTCTGAAAATTTGCATAACGGCATCACTTTTCATTCTAAACACCTTTCTCAGTAACACTAGTTGACGTACAGTGAACTGTGGAAAGGGTAGTTTAGCTAGAACTAAAAATGTATGCTCAACTGTAAACGCCCAAAATATGAAATTGCAATTCGAAAATTTTTGGCCAATCACACCTCTTGTCAACTCAATCTAGGGACATACTGTACATTCACTGTGGTGGAAACACTACAATTAATAATAAATTATATTAAAATGAGAATAATATATTCATTTAAGTTTAATACATATCATACGGGTTAATGGGGTCGGTTAAGTTGCCCCCCCCCCCCCCCATTAAACATTTCGTTATGATATTACTATGTAATAATGCGCTCGATATGCGCTCAAACGCGCCGCTGAAAGTAATTTTTGCGCTGTTAAAGTTTTTGAGATATTTTGAAAAACATTTGGGGGGGTTCAAGTTCACGCAGCCCCCCCCATTATGCAATTTGGTACATCTTATGATTCCAAATTGTGCCTGTAGTTATGCGCTAAACTGCGCCACTGGATTAACATTTTGCGCCACTACCGTATGGCCATAACGAAAGACAGGTGGGGCTAAATTGATGGTTTTAAAAAAGTGCACTTTCTTAAAGATTCTTAGTGCTATATGTTCCCTTTAGTTATGCGCTCAAATGCGCCGCTGAAACTAACTTTTGCGCTGTTATAGTTTTTGAGATATTTTGAAAAACATTTGGGGGGGTTCAAGTTCACGCAGCCCCCCCATTAAGCAATTCGGTATTACTGGTGATGCCAACTTATGCCTGTAGTTATGCGCTAAACTGCGCCACTGGATTAACATTTTGCGCCACTCCCGTATGGCCATAACGAAAGACAGAAGGTGGGTGGGGCTAAATTGATGGTTTTAAAAAAGTGCACTTTCTTAAACATTCTTAGTGCTATATGTTCCCTTTAGTTATGCGCTCAAATGCGCCGCTGAAAGTAACCTTTGCGCCGTTTAAGTTTTTGAGAGATTTTGAAAAACATTGAGGGGGGGGAGGGGGAGTTCATCACGCAGCCAACGATGCCAACTGGGTGCACGTTGAACGATTAAAAAACGTTTGCTTTAATTATGCCGTCGGACCAAGAAAAAAATATTTTCCTACTAAACCATAAACATACGATTTTCTATTTCACACTTAGTATTTAGGTTTTATTTGCATTTCTAAACAATTTTTTCTACACCATCGGTATAAAAAAACTATCTTCTATTTTGTGTATATACTGCATTCGCAGTATTGGAAGTAATTTGCATAATTCAAAATCCAAACGTTCATGTGCAGCATTGCGGCACAAAGGGCTTCATAACGACCTTGAAAAATTATCATTAATGTTATCACAATTGTCGTTTTCGGTTTTGCCTTATTTTGATTTCGAAATTCATGGAGGTAATTGGTAAAAGTAATGTACCTACGTAATTTGGTTGTAATTTGCGTATTACGGGTACCTACGTAGAATTCTGGCACTCTGCATCGATTACTCACCTGTAATACGCACACTATTACCTTATAACCTTATGACATAATTCACTATAGCGGCCCATAGGTATATGGTATAGCTATTCATAAATCATACCAAAGAGTAGGTGCTATGGTACTCTTTGATCATACTCAAGATTAGCATGCGGCGCCTGAAAGTAAAAATGCCAGTACTTTACTGGACGTGACTAACAGGAAGAAGATAGGGATTAAAGTAAAGCAGGTAAGGTAAGAGGTAAATGCAAACGTTCCATTGTTGTCGCTCCATAAATTAAACACTTCGTGATTAGCACATGTAAGGTGCCGCCGTTGTCGGAATTTGAATTTGATGCAGTGATGAATAACGTATAGTAAACAACAAAACCATCAGATATACCAAATTGCGTAATGGGGTGGGGGGGGGGCTGCGTGAACTTGAACCCTCCCAAATGTTTTATCTCAAAAACTATAACAGCGCAAAAGTTACTTTCAGCGGCGCATTTGAGCGCATAACTAAACGGGAACATATAGCACTAAGAATGTTTAAGAAAGTGCACTTTTTTAAAACCATCAATTTAGCCCCACCCACCTTCTGTCTTTCGTTATGGTCATACGGTAGTGATGCAAAATGTTAATCCAGTGGCGCAGTTTAGCGCATAACTACAGGCACAATTTGGAATCATCAGATATACCAAATTGCATAATGGGGGGGGGGCTGCTTGAACTTGAACCCCCCCAAATGTTTTTCAAAATATCTCAAAAACTTTAACAGCGCAAAAATTACTTTCAGCGGCGCGTTTGAGCGCATATCGAGCGCATTATTACATGGTAATATCATAACGAAATGTTTAATGGGGGGGGGCCAACTTAACCGACCCCTGTATTTCACAGTTTTTACCAAACGTGAATATTATTGGGAAAAGCTGAATTACCTACCTGTTCTTTATTGTTCTGAACATCACTTGCAATCTGTTCAAAATGGACCTGTGTATTTTTGTCGATCCTGGCCGCGATGTCTTCTTTGGATCCCAGATGTTTATGTTCAAATTCTTTATATTGCTTTTCCCTCTCTTGCCGATATTTCTCTATTTCTGCAGTTGCCTCTTCCCGCGCTTGTTTGATTCTTTTCGTTTTACCTATAGAAGAGATGTAATAAGCGTTAGGTAATCAATAAAATCGTTCAAATACTTCCGATCTTTTACCGAACATAACAAAACCGCACTACATACTAAAAATAATCGATGTATAAATATATATACCTACTTACGTTTTCTGGCTTCGCTAACTTTTTCCGCTGCCTTTTTTTCGGCCGCCAAAAGTTGTTGAATTCCTTGCGTTTGACTTGCCATTCTGCGTTCCTTACGAGTTATGCAACAAATACAATTGAAACTAATGAAAATTTCCTGTACTTTATCTCAATTATGGCGAGTTTATTTTATTGTCGAATGCCAAAGATTATGTAGAGGGGCAACTTTATATGAACGAAGTTTTAAAAATAAATTGTTTACTTCGTTGCGCAAAGTGGAATAGTTATAGGTAGGTATAGGCAAATAGGCATTTAACTTGCAATCGCTTTATATACACATCCGTACTGTTCAGATCCGCAATTGATAAAATGTGTGTAGAGCAATTTGGAGTCACAGATATACGTAAAATCTGTGTTGCAGTCGACTTTGAAAGCTTAAAACGTAAAAGTGGAAATAATGGCACTTACTTAAAACATTTGTCAGAATGACAGAAACTCCCTTCGTGTACCTAAATAAAAAATCAACCTGCTTATGGACGTGGTTCGAATTTTTGAATAAAGAAGATAGGTTCTATAATTGTACCTTGAATATGTAGCCACGTCAATCTTGATCCACTTGTGCAACAACACCGTATTTTAATTTAGCGCATTTTTTAAGAATAAAAAAAAATGTGCTATTGTTTACGTTTTGTCCGTCCGTCCGCCCGGACCCACTTCTACCGTTTTGAACTACTAGGGGAATGGTACTAGCACAGATTTAAGTGGTACTAGAGTCCTGGAATTGTTTGCAGTAGGTAGCCTATACTTAACTTTTACATACGACAACCAATTGATATCAGATTGTGCATACGCATGCCTTTAGTGGTACCAAGTTAAACTTTAGAAAATGGGGGGGGGGTTAACACATGGTATTCTAATGAAAGGTTTCATCGAAATAAATTGGTTTGTACAAACCACAACTTTCTCGTGCGACTCTTTTTCGAGATAAGTGAGCGACGGGGTCTGAGTTAAACATTAATTTTATCTCTCATTGTATTCTAATTAAAGGTCTCAACGAAAGGAACAGTTTTCTACAAACTACTGCACTTCTTTATGTCCTCTTATCAAAGTACGGGGTGGAGGGGAAAGGGAGGAGGGAGTGGAATTAGTTTTATCCTTCATATGGTACTCTAATGAAAGGTCTCAACGAAAGGAATTAATTTATACTAACCATAGTCTTCCTCCTCGATCCCTTGTCGTAATTGGTTATAATTCCTTATATCTTAAGAGTGAATTGTCAAAGGAAAATACCTACAAAGGGCGATTGGGACGTTTGGAAGAAATATAACCATTGGGCATTTAAATGAAATTTGATACATAGCCACTTGGAATAAAAGAAAATTTAACACCAGTTTCAAAATTTGGTTTTGCGCATGCGCAGTGCTAACTTTCTTATTCATGGAGAGATTTAAATGAAATTGGATACATAGCCACTTGAAATAAAGGCAAATGTAGCGCCGTTTTCCAAATTTGGTTTTGTGTAGGATGTGCAGTGCCAACTTTCTTATTTATGGAACAAATTTCGTAGGGGTGTTTAAAAAAATGCGTTTTACCTGCACAAGGATTGTGCATAATTTGTACTTGTTCACTTGTACCGTCGCATATAAATTCTGAAGTATCTAAGTATAGACATTGATGTGTGTATAGGTACCTAATCAATGGTATAGGTATAGGACCCTAGTAGGGTTTTTAGCTACAATTTTAGTGATCATCATAGGTTTAATCCTAATTAACATTTCGAAAGGATGTGACTGATCAAAAATAAAAAAAAAAACTTTTTTGATAACCACCCCATCGATTTTTCAAAGCCAGTTATAAAATCCCTACACCATCTATGTACTGCATTTGTCCTAAAAATTTTTTCAATTTTTTTTCAATTTCGATTTCCATAATGGCCACCATTCGTACGATAGATTGAAAAAAATATTTAGGATAAATTTGGTAGTAGATAGTGTAAGGAGTTTATAAATGTTTTACTTTCAAAAATCGATGGGGAGGTTATAAAAAATTGTTTTTTTGGAATTTTTGATCGGTCTTTGATTATTTGAAAAAATAAAAAATAATTATAAATACAAATGTTTTAGAGAGTTGAAATATAGTTTAAAAACTTTTTTTTTTCAATAGTCCTTAAAATAAGGTCCTTAAAACAGACGACCTTTCGAAAAACAAAAGAACACCAATATAACTTCGAACCAGGGCACCAAATCAAAAATTGGAATGTCTGTTTGAGTGGACCTTGTAACACTGTAGAATGGTACGAATCGTTTACGGACCTATATGTTTATATAAACTTCATTTACATCATATTTAGGAACTCCCTGTACGTATAAATATTTTAGACTGAGCTGTTGACTTGGGCTCAACCCTTAGACCCTGCCCTCACGGTTCTAAAGGTGCCTTTAGACTAGCAAGAAAACTCGCGCGTTTTTTACCTTCGGACACTACTGGTTAAATAGCATTGCGATTGCGAGTTCATTTGACAGAACTCGCGGAAGAACTCACACGACACTTTTCTTGCCAGTCTGAACAGGCATTTTGTCGAAATTCTCTTTCTTTAATAAACAAAAAACGGAGCCATGAAATCTTCTTTTCTTGGCAGTAATATTTACCAGTTGCGGCTTGTAACTATATTGTCTGATGAGGCAAGGGAGGGCAATTCATTTAGCAGCTAAAGCGTAAGATAGACGGAACAGATTCAATGATCATATCGGATATCAGTCCGGAGCACTGTCGATGTCGTCGAACGTTCTCGATGCTTTTAATTTCCACCATATCTCACGGGCTACTTTTAATTTACATTCTGTGTGTAGTGGGTTTTTTAAGAGACATGGCAATAAGAAATTTTTCGTTGTTTGACATTTGGCAACGCTGTTATGTGCTTCCCGCGGTTTCTGGCAACAAGCAACTTTTAGAGGTTATACGTTGTAAGAATTTGTAAATTGTAATTCGGTCGCGGTGCTTTGTCTTTGGAATTATCTGTTCTGTCGTGGTATTTTTGCTCTTTGTGCACGTAAAAAGAAGAATGGAGGGGTTTGACAATGCTGGAATCTTCTTCAGCGATAATTTCGCCCCCGAAGATAACCAGAACGATGTTCAAACTAATCTACAGGGTATCAAAAAGAAATTTAAAAGCTTTCTCAGAGAATTTCACACTGACAATTTTAATTACACATACAGGTAACCAATAACTCATAAAATTAGAGCAAGAATTCTATATACATATTACTTGACAGAGATACATTGAAACGCAATTACAACATGCAAAATTACTATTTGGAGGTGAATTTGGAAGACTTGGGTAGCTTTAACGAAACATTGGCCGATAAAATACTTAAACAACCAACCGAACATCTTCCCATCTTCGAAGAGGCCGCAAAAGAGGTTGCAGACGAGTTGACAAGTCCAAGACCGGAGGGCGAAGAGAATGTGGAGGAGATACAAATAATGCTCACGTCTGATGCAAATCCGTCTAATTTAAGAGCGCTTAAAGTAAGAGATCTGCTTTGTTTCAATGGCCATTGTAAGGTAAATGTTGCAGTCTGACGTTGTATCACATTTGGTAAAAATACCGGGAATTATAGTTACTACTTCAGGCGTTAAGGCGAAAGCTACAAAAATTACGATACAGTGTCGTTCTTGTCAAAATATTGTACCAAATTTGCTTATTAAGCCTGGATTAGAAGGATATTTAATGCCGCGCAAGTGCCATACGTAAGTATCTGGGAAATCTTATTCTTGTTTTGTAATGAATAGTCGAACATTTCCAAATGCTGATACAATTTACACTGGATCTGCTGTGCAATGAACAAGAGCAGCATCTCGAATTTAGTCGATTTCCTTAATGCCCCATAACTTTCTTATTATTAAAAATAATTGATTTTGGCAAAATCTTTCTCAGAGCACTTTTTTATGTAACATGCATTGCGATACACAGTTTTTATACAGGGTGTTTTGTTTTTCTTATAAGACTCTAAACTATATTTTTTCATACGGACCACCCTATACATAATATATTTTAGAGTTTTTTAAACGAGCGTAACATTTCCTAAATTTTGATGTATCGCATATTACATTTATATTAAATATTATTTGCAATATTGCGTTTTATACAGTAAAATGTTTTTATTGTTGTTTCAAAAGCCTAGGGGATCCTTTGCGAAAAAATACCTTGTTGTTTGCCTAGGGTGCGTTCATCTTGTGATACACGGTAGGTATACAGGGTGGCGTAACACATCATAGGGATTTCAATGTAAAATTCATAACATGCGATTATTGGCTCTCCAAATTATTTTAGAGCAAAAATGTATTCATGTTTTTTGTAGAAAAATTTTTTTACGCCAATCAACCGCATTAGTTTTCAATTTTTTGCATAAGAAAGACGGAAAATTGGAAAAATAAAACCCGCATCTTTCTCAATAATCTGCGATGCCATGGAATTTTCTAAATCTAATTTGGTCTTTCTTTATGTTGAATTCGCTGTTCTAAATAGAATACTTTTTGATAGAATTTGATTTGTTTTATAGCAGACATTCCATGGCTTGACGGATATTGGCTTAGTTTTTGTATTATAAAATTCCATGGCATCACAGATTATTGAAAAAGATGGGTCTTTTATTTTTTCAATTTTCCGTCTATAAAATTGAAAACTAATATGGGTGAATGACGTAAAAAAATTTTTTTCTACAAAAAACCTTAATACATTTTTGCTCTAAAATAATTTGGGGAGCCAATAATCGCATGTTATGAATTTTACATTGAAATCCCTATGATGCGTTACGCAAGTTATCACCCTGTATATACTATACAGGGCCATTCAATATAAAAAACCACCCTGTATTATTTTTAGGAATATTCATATTGTGACGAATACCATTTATTTTTTTGTAAAAGCCTCTTTTTGAAACAAGATTTTCTTTAAATCCAAAGGTTCATTAAGGCGAAATACATTT